GTTGTACACTCTTCATGTAATTACAAACAGTAGGGATTATTAATGTATAATTCCGTATGCAAATACTAATAAAATCCTGTCAGCAATGTAAGCCGCCTTAAACAATAAAAAAAAAATAAAATCTTCGATCTAATAAACCTATGATTTACGTGATCTATGCCAGTAGAACCTTTGTATTCTCAAATCCAGTCTTTGTTAATTAAATAACCCCTTGTATAATCAAAGAAATAAGTTGGTGACTTGTATAAGGAATGATTTAGAAAAAGCTATAAGATAAGAAGGAACTTATCTTACTCGACCAAATCGTACGCCTCAGCTGAGAGTGCCTTATCTGCTTAAATATATTCTTTACATTACGCAAGAAACTTAATTCCAAACTGACAGAGTCAGATCATTTTGTTGTTGTTTGTTGGTTGATATTTCCGCTGTTAACAATATCTACCTAGGTATTATCTGGTTAAATCTACTTGGGTAGCTATACATAATCACTACTCAGATATCTGATTACTCACGGGTAACTCAGGTAATACCCAACCTGAGTACAAACACTAATGATAATAGTAATAGCAGTAGTAATAATAATAATAATAGTGAAGAGAATGATGCTAATAATAATAATATTGCCAGTGATTCTATTCAAAGAAAATCACCTACTTTACTCTGGCAACATAATTCTCAGAATAAAGAGAGGAACATTGAATCTTTATCAAAAAAATCAGTAAGTATAAATAATATTAACAATAATAGTAATAATAGTTTTATTAATAAATTTTACTTTATCTATAGACCTCACTGTTGCCATTATCATCTTCTCCAACTACTTGAAAAAAACGAAAAAGAGTATATTCAAGGAATTGCCCAATACACTGTAAAAAGTTTAAACATAGTATTAGAAATTAATATTATTTTAAATTAATAAAATGTTGTATATGGTGATATGTATTAATTCTAAATGAATAGTAATAAATGTTGAATTATTTCTTTATTTAATAATAAATCTATTATTAAATTTATTATTTATGTATAAACATAAGAAATAAGTGAATTTTTAATTAAAAATTATCAAATCTACTTGAATAGCATCGACTAAATTGTTAGAGATTTGATTTTAAATTATCTATAAGCTCATTTTGTATTAGCGAATTAATATATTATTGTTTTTATATTAATAACTAATTATATGTATAATAAATACTTAATAATTTTTTTATTATTAACTTAGTAACTCATGGTCACAATACTATCGAAACAAAAAATATTATATAATGATAAAGTATTAATATTGGTGCTATTATTACAAGTTATACACAATAAAAATTTATTCTGAAGCAGGGACATATGAATTTTGTGATTTGAGTAAATCACAGAAAATATCAATTGCAAAATATAGTATTAATAGCTATATCAAATAATAGTATAGTAAATTTAATAAAATTATTGTAATGTTTTGTTAAGTGATATAAAATATAATAAAAACTTATATTTTAATAGCGTTAGTTCAAAAAAATTTTACATTTCTCGAAAAAAAAAAAAATTTAGTGCAACTCGCTTTATAAAAAAATGCAAGTTTTTTGTTTTTACGAGATAAAATTTTAGGAAAATAATTAAAATTAACAGGATGTGAAATTCACCCTACTTTACTCAATCAATTAAATCAAATTTTATTTGTTTATTTACCTACTAACAACAAATCCATTATTAGTACTAGACTTTCGTTATGTCATAAATCTGTATATATGAGTGCAACTAAGAGAAAACCTGTTGTTGGGCTTTCAAGCTTATTGCTCACCAGACTCGATCTCGAAAAATTTAATTAGTAAAATATAAAAACTAATTAAACATATGCTTTTAATCACGTATCATATAGGTGCTGCAATAGTAAATCATTATATACAGTTACTGTTACAAGTTTTCTTCATATGTTGTTGATTTAAATTTTTCAAAAGCCAAATCTGGTAAGTAATAAATTTGAAAGCGTGATAACAGGTTTTTCTCTTAGCAGCACTCATATAAAGTATGTTATTTGGACTTTATTTCGAAACCAAGTCATTTTCAGTGATTATTTGAAAGTTATACAGTATAGAAATCTTATTTAAAACTTCAAAACTGTTTATGTTAATTAGACAATGAGTAATAGAAACTATTTAAACCTAGCAATTCAAGTTTATAAGAATTACATTTCATTTGTGTTATTTAGATGATAAGTACAAGACTATTTAATATTTAAAGTCAGCAATTCAAATTAATAGCTAATACTTTTCAAACTACTTTATTCATATTAACTAGTTTGCGGATATAAAGATTATTTTTAAGTTCAAAATGAATTTACTGTTAGAAACACTAGAACAAGTTTGTGGTGTTAATAAGGTAGTGTGCATAAAAGTATATTTAGTTCAAATTCATAAGGACTTATGACTTGACAATAACTTTAATCATTTATATTTAAACTAACAACTCAAAATTTATAAGAATTTTACTATCAGATAAATTATTCTATTTGCGTGAATATGTCATTTAAATTCTACATATGTTGTGCATCAGTATAATCCTGCTAATATCTACTCTTACTATAACATAGGTTCTCACCCTAATCCTAATAAAACTCTGAATTAAATTTTACTCTGATATATTATATATATATTACTACGTAGGATATAAGATTATAGTTACTGTATAGATGCATTATTTTAAAAAATATTAGGCCCAAAAAATTATTCCAAATTTTGAAATAATATATATAGACATACTCGAAATAATATGCAGGTGGTCGCCTTGCATAGTGCAACTTGAAATAATTTAAAAATTTATTACTTGATTGATTTTTTGATTATACAGATAACATATATGAAGCATTGGGGTATTTTATATATTAATAAGTAAGTCTTATATGAGGTATCATAATAAAATTTGCTAATACAGATTTTTTATGTATTATTTGAAAATTCTACATCCATGTAGATCCTAACTATACTCCAGCAATTAGTATTCTGCAGATCCAATCTAAAATTCAGATCCAATTCAGATCTGATGGATCAGATCAAATCTAGATCTATGAAAAATAAAATCTGATAAATCCAGATCTATATTGGGATCTGATCTAGTAGATCTGTTTGGATCTGTTTGAATAATGATTGATGATTGGCTGTAAATATTATATTATAATTGGTTAATATTATCTAACTAATAAAAGAAAAAAAACATCATGATGATAATCTTTCAGAAACTGATAGTGAAAATAGAATCTATTATAACATAAAAAAAAAAAGCAGTTGATAATAAACTTTGAATACTTTTATTTTTTTTAAAGTAAACTTATTTTTCATACTGATCTTATAAGATCATCCCTAAGCTTTTAAATCCATAAGGAAAAAAGAAACACTATTATGAATTTTAGATTATAGAAATTTTTTTTTTTTTTTGTCTCTAAGCTGTCTAAGCTGTTTAAGTATTAAAAAAAAAAAAAGCATTTGATAATGAACTTTGAATACTTTTTTTTTTCTAATATAAAGAACTTATTCTATACCAAACTTATAAGATCACTGCTAAGATTCTAAGATTTTTAAATCTATAAGAAAAAACACTATACATACTATAAATTTTAGATTATAGACTTGTTTAAATTTTTTTTTTTTTGAGAAGAATTTTTTTTTAAATTTTTTTTTTTTGATATAAAAAGCTTTCTGTTATATATTATGATAATAAATGCAGAACTTTTTTTTTTAAAAAAAACTTTTTTTGACACCAAAGAACTTTTTAAACTTTCTTCAAAACTATTCACCTTGTGAAGCTTTTTTTTACAATCTGATCTTGTCTACGCCCTCTTATGGGGAGCCTAGTGAATCTTATAAACAAGTGTCTATATATATTAATGAAGGCCCTATTTATATTAACGAAAATGAAGCTAAAGTTAGTAAATTATCAACTCAAACAGAAGGTGGCAGTAAAACTATGTGTCCTAGATAGGAAGCTTTATAGTATTAAAAAGATTTTAATAGACTATGTTATTATCTGATATATATAGTATTTACTTACCAGTTGCTTTATATTATAGGTCTCTTGTGTGAAGCTACTTCAAAAAAAAGATGCCAGTGCAATATGCAATTTTTGTGGTACAAAATTAGTATATCAAGATAGAACTATATTAAATCTCAAAAAATATCTTAAAATACATAGAAGTAAAGTATCTAAATTAAAAAGTCTGAATGTAGAACAAAGCAGTATCTTTGTAATCGATATGCTGAATAATAAAGCAAATATATATTTTAAAACATGTGTTAGAAAAAATATTCACATAATTTTAAATATAATTATATTTTATTAGATTAATGATCATTTCTGTGAACTATTTAATAAAAGTAAATTTGATGATCTTATTAAAAAATAGATCAGTAAATATAATCGACTTTTTCTAATCACTGAAGATGAAGAACTTAGATTAATTTTTAAATTTTTAGATCCTTGTATGACAGGTATGATAATTAGTTTGAATAGAGTTTGTAAATAATAAACAAATATATAGTTTTATTTATTTACAGTATTTATTTATTTATTTAATAGCACCTTCAGCTGATTCAATTAAAAGACATATAGTATATGATTTTGAAGTAGAGCAAATGAGGCTTCAAAATAAGTTGCAAGAAATTCCTAGTAGTATAGCTGTAACTACTGATATATGGATGACTGATAGTGGTGACAAGTCATTTATGGCAGTAACTATTCACTATCTAAATGCATCATAGAAACTTAAAAATATTTTGTTAGATTTCATTAGTATGAATAAGTCACATACAGGTGTAGCAATTTCAAATATAATAGAAGTGTGCCTTCAAAAAATAGGAATTATTCTAAAGTTGATTGCAATTACACGCAATAATGTAGCATCTAATAATAGGTTTTTGCAAGAATTTGTTTATTCTTTATTACAACTTGGTATCCAGTTCGATAGTACACAACAATTGATGTGATGCTTTAGTCATATTTTAAATCTTGTAGTACAAGATATGTTAGATATTACTAGAAGTGAGTTAGAAAGGGTTAGTATTCTTTTTTGTTAATAGAATAATTATTATATTATTTATTTTATTATAATTTATTTTTAATTATTTATTATTATTTTTTTAGCTGCGATCATTGATTAAAAGTGTTAGGGGATTACCAAAACATCATGAAAAGTTAAAAAAAACATGTCAAATTCATAATATAAGTCAATTAAAGCTGATTTTGGATATAAGTACAAGATGGCATTCAATATTTAAAATATATAATCAGGCTGTAACATTACAAATAGCATTAGATAGTGTCACTTTAACTAAATCAGAGTCATGGCCATATGTTCTTAGTGACGATGAATAGAATAAAATAAAACTTTTAGTTAAAGTTTTAAAACTATTTAAAGATAGTAAATTATTTTGTAATATAATTTATTAGTTTTATATTAATAAACTTATTATATTAAATATATATGTATATAATTTTGTTTAGTAACAACTATTATGTCAGTATCTGAATATCTAATATTATTAATAGTTGTTCCTCTTTATCATATGCTGCTTAAAACACTTAATGAAACTTAGAAAAGTAGTGATACACTACAATAGCTTAAACAAGGATGTCAAGTTGCAGCTACTAAGTTTCTAAAATATTGTCAAAAGACAAATATATAGCATATTTCAGCAATAGTGTTAGATCCATGGCTCAAGTTCCAGTATTTTGAAGAGCTCAGATAGTCAGCGCAACTTATTTATCAAATTAAAAACATGTTAGTTTATGATTTGTAATGCAAAATATGTAATTAATATATTGTATTAATTTATTTTCATTACTTTATAGCATTAAAAATAAATATAAAAATTAGTATGCACCTGTTCCTGGTCAAGATATAGTAAACTCAATTGTTGAACTATCTGCAACAAATATAATATTACAAATTTACAAACGAACTCGTACTGAGCATCAGAGTGAGCTTGATATGTACCTATATGCATCACTAGCAGAATCATATATAGATGTTTTAGAATAGTGGCGAATGAATGAAACTAATTATTTATATTTTCAAGATTTGCTTGTGATTGCCTTCTGATTCCTGCTACAAGTATTCCCAGTGAACAAGTTTTTAGTATTAGTAGTGATATGATAACTGCAAAACGAAGTCAATTAAATGAAAAGACAGTATGTATGGTAATATGTTTGTGGTTATAGTAGAGAGAACTAGATGAATCATATGTATATAACTTTATATATTATTTTAATAGTTTTAAATCATGTAATTATTTTTAATAAGAACATATTAAAGTCATATTTGAGAAGATAACTTGTTGATTAAATAAATCGTTGAAATTGAACCAAATAATATATTTGTATTAAGAAGTTGTAGAAAAACTTGTTTTATAATAGGTAGATATGAAAATTTACTTGAATATTCATAAAAGGATTGAAGTAAATCAGATAATATACTTGCATTAATAATTTGATAAAATGTTATTGTATGACAGCAGACATAAAAGAGAAATACTTATAGTATAATGGTTAAAGATAATATACATATGTATCACTTGCAGATTTAAACAAATTAAATTGTATATATATGTACGAAGAAAAATTTCTAAAATTAGAAAATAAAATTGATGTATTCAGTGATAAATTAGTCTTTTTTTTTAATTTTATTTAAATTGTAAGATTTTCTTTAAATTTATTCAAAGATATAAATATCAAATAAAAAAAATATTAAAGTGATTATATAAATAGATTTATACTTTAAGAAATTTAATAAGGTACAATTTTTTTTATCAGATCTGGATCTAGATCTGGATCTTTCTTGAATTCAATCTGTTTTTTCAGATCGAATACAGATCTTTAAAAAGATCTGTCTGATTCGATCTGTGTGAAATACTAGGGTTCTCACTAATAGTAAGCAAGCAATAGAGAGTATATCTAAAGCTTGCAAAACTGAGCAATATAGCAAGTAGATTAGAATAGATAACAGAATAATTCTGAAAAAAATTATATCACTTGTTAGGCAGAAAAGTATCGAGTTAGAGCTCAAGAAAGTTAGGAGCCATACAGATAACAAATAGAATAATGAAGCAAACTGACTAGCAAAGGAAAGCAGAAAGTCACACATAACTCTAAACCTTGATTTAGTCAAAAGTGAAAACTTTAACTATGATATAGTATGAAAATCAAATAGAATTGAGAGCTCAGTTAAACACTTTATAACCAAGCTAGCAAAAAGATATAATAATGCAGAGTAAGTATATCAAAAGAAAGATGA